CCATTAAAAATATGCATGACACAACAAAGGAAAGTCTATGTGAACTTCATAATTTAAATATTGAAACATCAACTTGGGATCCAATTTTAGTTCACATACTATTAAAGAAATTGGATAAAAATACACATTGCAGTTTTGAACAAACTCTTACTAACCCAAAGGAGATGCCCACAATAAAACAATTCTTAGAATTTTTAGAATTGAGATTTCAGTCACTTGAGGCTATAGGTCTACGAGACAATGCAGTATATAAACCCAACAAAAGGATAGCCGTAACTATGGTTTGTTCAGATCTATGTAAAGTTTGTAATACAGATAAACATCCGATCTACTATTGCAAAAGGTTCATTGAAATGACTCCTCCTGAACGATTAAATTGGATTCAACGACAAAAACTATGTGTGAATTGTTTCAAATCCGATCATAAAGCAAAGGTTTGTGAAGCTGGATCATGTAAAAAATGTGCCAAGAAGCATAACACTTTGCTCCATTTAGAGCAACAGTCACCTAAACCTTCAAGGGCACCAGCAACAAACACAAAGTCAACCACAACATTGATCAACGCTAATGAATCGCCATCCATAACAGCAACAACTAATGCAAAGTGTACTCGTAATTACGTTCTGCTAGCCACTGCAAAGGTGCGCATTATTGCAAACAATGGACGAACGTGTGATGTTCGTGCCATACTCGACTCAGGTTCTCAAGTGAACCTAGTAACCCAAAGAGTAATCAACAAGTTATCTTTAATTACCACAAATTCAAATCTATCGATCGAAGGTATTGGCCGTCAATTCGGGAACTCAAAATCTCGCGTAAATGTTGAACTGCAGGCTACTAATGGAAGCTTCAGGACGAGACTAGAGGCATTTGTATTGCCACAAATAATATCAGCACAACCGTCACGAGACCTAGATATCTCGGATTGGCAGATCCCACAGAATGTAGAATTAGCAGACCCCAGCTTTAACAGATCTGGAAGAATTGACATGCTGATTTGTGCTGACTTCTATCATACTCTACTTCAACCAGAACAATTGATAATAGGAAAGAATTCGCCACTGTTACAAAATTCGGTTCTAGGTTGGTTGGTGGTTGGTAAGACTAAAACTACAACAGATATTAAACCAACATGCGCTATTACTACAGGAGAGGTTGGTGAAATGTCAGAAATGATAGAACGATTTTGGAAGTTAGATAACATTGAGACTGCAGAAAGGGTTTTGACTGTATCTGAGAAATGGTGTGAAAATCACTTTACAAATCATGTAAAGACAAATCGCGATGGTCGTTTCATTGTACGCTTACCTTTTCGCGATGATCCCACAACACTTGGTAGATCGCGTGAGATAGCATTCAATCGATTTTGTTCTCTGGAAAGGAAGTTACAAAAGGACCCAAATTTATACAAGGAATACATAAAATTCATGGATGACTACGAGTCATTAGGTCACATGGAAAAAGTTTGCCCAAAGGATGTCAAAGGATCACAATATTTCATTCCTCATCATTGTGTCTTGAAACCTGACAGCACTACAACCAAATTGAGAGTTGTCTTTGATGCATCAGCAAAAACATCAAGCGGTTTAGCACTAAACGATATTTTGCACAAAGGTCCAACAGTGCAAAGTGATCTTTTTTCAATACTGTTGCGTTTTAGAATACACCGGTTTGTATTTACGGCCGATATTGAGAAAATGTACCGGCAAATTCAAGTACATGATGAAGATACAGCACAGCAGCTGATAATCTGGAGAAAAAGTGCTGATGATAGTATACAATATTACCGACTGAAAACGGTTACATATGGAACAAAGTCAGCCCCTTATCTTGCAACAAAATGTCTTCAACACCTTGCAAAACATAATATGACCAACTATCCGCTTGGAGCACCTGCATTACTTAATGATTTTTATGTAGATGACTGTTTAAGCGGAACTAACAGCATCATTACCGCCTTAGACACTCAACAACAACTTTCGGAACTGCTCAGTAAATCAGGATTTAAACTGAGAAAATGGTGCTCAAATAATACACGACTACTACAAAACATTCCGATAGAAGACCAAGAAATCAACCTTGATTTAGATGACTCAGCCATAAAGCCAACAAAAACATTAGGCATTATTTGGCTCCCGAAATCAGACGAATTTTGCGGAAAGGCAGAGATGTCATCAGAGCAACCTATCACGAAGCGGATTGTGGCATCGGACTTAGCTCGAATTTTTGATCCTTTGGGAATTTTTGGCCCCATTACTGTAACAGCTAAAATATTCATGCAGGAATTGTGGCAACAAAACTATTCCTGGGATGCGGAACTGTTACCTCAGGCTCAGCTAGAATGGAAGCGGTTTAGAACTGACTTACAAACATTAAATACTGTGAAAGTACCCAGACATATTTTTAATTCGAAGGTTCCTTGTTCGATTCAATTACACGTGTTTACGGATGCATCAGAGAAGGCATATGGAGCAGCTATGTACGTGCGAACAATATATAATGATAAGACAATAACATCGAGACTATTGTGCGCCAAATCTAGAATAGCACCATTAAAGAAACAGACACTTCCACGACTAGAACTCTGCGCAGCATTGCTGGGAGTCGAATTAGCAGAAAGAGTTAAACAAGATTTAAGTATCAAAACGTGCCAACCTACTTTTGGTCCGATTCCAAAATTGTTTTGTCATGGATAATATCTTCATCTGCCTCATTGCACACATTCGTAGCAAATCGTATTAGCAAAATTCAAGAGATGTCACATGCTGATCAATGGCATCATGTGGCATCAAACGATAATCCTGCTGACATCATTTCCAGAGGAATAAAGGTTAAAATGTTCAATTATTCACATATATGGTTTTTTGGTCCACTCTTTCTTCATGGAAGCAACGAATTTTGGCAACAGCCAAACCCAAAGGCATTTAACATCTCAACTGATATCGAAAGACGACAAGGACATACAGTTAACATTATCATTCAAACGACTGGTTCTGATCACATGATAAATCACATTGATCATCGAAACTCATTCAGATACCTTCAAAGAACAATTGCTTATGTTCGCCGTGTATTTCATCGCACACAATCACCAACAAGAACACTTTCTCCAAAAGAATTACGAGATGCATTAGTCTTCATAATTAAAACTATTCAGGGCTCAGAATTTGCAAAGGAAATCTCTGATTTAAAACAATGTAAAGCAGTCAACAGTTCGAGTCAACTAAATACTTTAGCACCGTTCATTGACAAACAAGGTGTACTTCGTGTTGGAGGAAGGCTTGAAGCATCAACATTGCCATATGATGCTAAACACCCAATGGTAATTCCTTACAATCACTCAATAGTGAAATTGATGTTCAAAATGAAACATGAAGAAAATTCCCATTGTGCTCCACAATTATTGCTAAGCATAATGAGACAAAACTTCTGGCCGATTAAAGGAAAGATTATGGCGCGAAACATTGTTCACAGCTGTGTCATCTGTTCAAAGGCAAAACCAAAACTGATGGACCAACTCATGGGCAACTTACCGACTGATCGAGTTACTCTAACTAAACCATTTTTTACCACAGGAGTTGATTACTGTGGTCCGATATGGATTCATTATAAAATTAGAGGAAAAAGGCCAACAAAGGCATATTTAGCAGTATTTTGCTGTTTCGCGACTAAAGCTGTTCACCTAGAAGTGGTGAGTGACCTGACAACAGAGGCATTCATAGCCGCTATTCAACGTTTTATCAGCAGAAGAGGAAGATGCCAAACAATTTATAGTGACAATGCGACTAACTTTGTTGGGGCGAGAAACCAACTACAAGAGCTCCAGTCTACCATTTATTCAGAAAATGGAAAAGAAAAGATCATTAAGACCAGTAGTAACAAGGGAATTGACTTCAAATTCATTCCACCAAGAGCTCCTCATTTTGGAGGACTCTGGGAAGCTGCCGTCAAGTCAGCTAAACATTTAATGATTAAAGGAATTTTCAACGCTTCATTGACTTATGAAGAATTGACAACAGTCATAACTGAAATAGAAGCCATGTTAAATTCAAGGCCAATAACAAAAATGTCATCCGATCCAAATGATCTAACAGCGCTTACACCAGGACACTTTCTCATAGGCGAACCACCTACCACTAATGTAGATCCTTATCAAAAGGAGAGCCGAATGAGTTTATCATCACGATGGCGTTTAGTTTCTGAACTCAAACAAGAATTCTGGAGAAGATGGTCAAAGGAATATCTCAATGAACTCCAATCAAGGTACAAATGGAAACAACAAAAGGCAAATCTATGCCAAGGTGATTTAGTCATTATTAAAAGATGATAATCTACCCATGTACAAATGGCCTCTTGGCAGGGTGCAACAGGTGTATGAAGGAGAAGATGGTTTGGTCCGTGTAGCTGACATAAAAACAGCCAATGGGATTTTTAAACGACCATTACGATCATTGGCCCCCCTACCCACTGAAGGCAGCATTAATCAAAATCCAACAAAACAAAATTCTACTGTCATACAAACAAGACGAACGAATGAACCTAGTGAAGCGTTGCCAAAGCGTCGAAAGATATATGATGGCACATCTTTAATGATGACCATACTTGGTCAAACACCAAACGTCTACAATTCAGACACATCAAACGCTTACCGACACCATGTATGAATCTTACATTGCATTTGGTGAGATACCTGTCATCAATAACTCAGAATTATGGTCAAAGTTTAAAGGAAGTTCATTGAATCTCAGCAATGAACTTAAACAGTTAAAGCTACTTCACAATACTCTGAAAGATGAAAAATTCGCTGAATTACCACACAAACTACAGACGGACAGCATGCACCATTACGCAATTAATTCCATAACCCTAATTCTTGTCGTTGGAGCCATCATATGGATGATATGGAAAATAAAGCAGGTAAAGCATCCAGAAGTCAATCAGCCAACACAAACTCTCACACCAAACGCGATGCCACGAACAAGATTTACTTTGGAGCCTGAAACAATTACATAGCTTCTCAAATTCTCATGATGCTATAAACTCTAAATTTTATAATATTGTATTTATTGTTTAAAAATTATATATGTATTTATATATCCACAAAATGTTGTAATTATTTTTTTTTTATTTTTTTTTTTTGATGTTTTAAAAAAAAACACACATAATGCATTGCAAATCAAATTAATCATTGCTCATAGATTCATTCTTGAATAACGTAATTCAAGCCGGGCAGAATGTTAAGTTTAACAAACCTAACATATTTTAGCTCGCTTGTAATCACGCTTATGCAGCAAATAAATATTGTAAATATTTACGTTTATAAGTTCAATAACTTCACATATTGTATTTATGCTTATGCAGCAATATGTGAAATTTAAATTATTATTTTAGTCACCAATAATTGTAATTATTATTATGCTTAGTAAGTAATTTTATACTATATAAGGAAACAATATTAATAATAAAGTTTGAAAGCGAAAACAATCGTCTTTTCTTTACAATCAAAAATTGGTTATTGGTAGATGTGCCTTTTAACCACTATAGAAACAAAATAAAAATTATTTACTTGGCTAGCGGTTTATGTGCCTGCAAGCCTTTCATCTTAACTACCTGATTATTGGTTTATGTGCCTAATAGTCAGTGTAACAAAGTAAGCAAATATAGACATTGATACCACCTCAGATTACGTGGTATACACATATAAACAATAAAAAAGAATGTATCATATATGTATATATCTAATAACGGCAAGAACTAACAAATGTGTTCTCTTATTGGTGGTGGTATTCCTCTATTCCTGAGCGTTGTTTGTTGTCGTTTAGTCATTGGGCCTTGTTGTGGTAGGATTTCAGGCAGATTTAGGAGTATTTTCGGAAAATCTTCTGCAGGTTGTTTTCTTTCTTCTTTTTTACCATTCTATTTTCCAATTATTTATGTGTGATAATATATTTCTTTATCATTTATATGCAAAAAATCTTTTTGTCGAAAATACTAATGTATATTAATATAAAAAACTAAAGTTCTTCAAATTCTTGAGGACGATTATAAATTATAGTCGAAATAGAGAACAAATAATAAAAAAAAACTTTGAAATAGTAAAAAAAATCAATTTTCTGTATTATTTTTTTTAAACAAAATTTCTTCGTTAACATAGACTAGGCCTCCTGGGGACACCATGTAAAAAAAAACGAGCGATGCATTATACCTCAAAGATGGTCTGGAAATTAGTACGCAACTAGTAACATGAAAATTGTCATTTCTATTTAATTAACGATAACCTTTCATGTATGTCGATCTAGTAACTATCAATGATTATGCAGTTATTTAAATAAATCTCCATTTCTCGGCAATTATCCGCTTGCAAAAGCTAATAGTCGATACACTTGTACCCCATGTACTGATATTCCGTTTATACTTATTCAGTATCTGTATATATACATATGTATTCTTATGATTTTATAACTTGCTAAGAATTAATATAAATATTATGTAAATGCGATAAAATTGAAAATCCATACCTAATAACAATTAATTACGAAAACAATTATAATTCTTTCTTTTTCTTTGATAGAACTCGATGAAAATAACTCTAGGGTGTCTAGTAATTGTGCAGTAGAAGCCTACTCTGATCTAGAGTGCAATGACTTCGAAAATTGCACTATATCAGATGCATTTTCCAATTCAAAGAACATAAATATTGATTTATTGTCTTTAAGATACACAATAGGGTACGTAGCTAAAAAAATACTTTCAAAACTAAATAGTGAAGCTTGCAATATAAACTTAAAAAAAGGGATGAAATTTTGACTGCTCCAAATGAGCTTTTCATCTACTATAAAAATTATAATTCTCTTTCAAATTTCGGTAACCTTTTTGCGCCACCAGAAAGTTTTTTCAATGATTCTTGTAAACATGTCGAGGTTTTTAAAAATGTATTCAAAAATAAACCAGATGCAATTGGAATTAAAAGTTTAATAATAGAAATGTGCAAGAAAAAAACCCCTCAGTGGTTTAATGGGCCCTGTAATGAACATCTAATCCAGCTTCTTGATTTTTTAATTCTGCTTTTACTTCGTAAGCATTGCTTGTGGGCCTTAGAGAAGTCTAAAATCAACAAACATTTCTAAAATGAATAAGAAATATGTTAGCTCTACAATTCAAGTTAGCACTTAATATAAGATCAATTAATACAACTCTTGTTAACAATAATGTAAAAGAACTTAGCCAGAATTTAGTTGTAAAATAATTGCTAATAACATACAATAATTTACAGAATATACAGTACTGTTTCTTTTTATACAAATATGATTCAGTTGAACTTGAAAATAAAAATTTCGGTTTTACAGAAAATTCTATAATGAATGAAATAAAATGGATTGTAAACAAAAAATAAGTTTTTTGGTATTTTTGCAGACACTTTTTGCTTCAATATTTTCATAACTTGCTCTTCTTAACTTTCTACAAAAAAATACCAACAACTATAGTTCAGAGCGCACGAAAGCAATATAAATTTTTTTAAAACTTCTTAACTATGAAAAGCTTAAACACTCCAAACTCTCCCACATGTTAAAGCTGAAAAATTAAAAATTGAGTCACAACGAGTCCATGCGACGCAAAAATAACTCAAATACTATTTCTCCGATTTCTACGACCAAATATCAGCGCGCTTAGGATGCAAGGAAGGATTTCCATTTGTTGTTCTTACAGTGATGCTACTAGCAATTTCATAACAACTGGGTTCTTCGTATAAGTTTAATGTCTTTGAAGTTTTTAATATCATAAATTCCGTCCTGATATTTTCAAATGGATTCTTAAAAAAGCTTAATAAGTAATTAACATCATTTCGAACCTTAGCATCATTGCAATCACCTATGACATTCTCAATAGCAGAAAACGAAGTCAAAAACAAATTGTTTATCATATTTTGGATACAAATGACTGCATTCCGAGGCATATAGTTTTGGGAATACAAGTTAAGCACTAAACTTAAGATATCCTTTTTAAATTTTTTTAAATTACTTTCAGTACTGTTTTTAGAAGATACAATATTACCATTATAAAAAGAAATGCTAGCAAAAGAATTAGAGTCGGAATTGTGTGAAATTAAAGAAATTAATTTCTATATAATGAAATCACTTCATATACGTTAACAAAGATATAAGATTCGCTGACTTTATATCATATTCAGTAGTAATATCGTAAAAAAATTGTTAAAGAAACGTCCATGGAGCTTCACAGGCTAGGGGGTACTTTAGACAAAAGACCTGAAATATTTTGAAGCAAATATCAAGAGCTTCTAAAAATGTCCCATATTTATAGATGGTGTTATCAAAATAAATATAAGAGGATTTTAAAGGTCTTTCTCGAAACCCCTCAACAATTATGAAAGGTTGAATAGATAATCCTACAGAGTAATACCTATTTACAATTTCATCTAACTTCCTTTTGTAGTCATTGATACTGTAAAGATGTAATATGAAACTTTCCTGAGCGTCTATTATAGTCGCTTTTTTTCTTAAGCTCCCATCGTCTCGTTTAAATCTATGTGTAGATGGTAGAACTCCACAAAGCAGCGATATTAAAATATAGTCTTCAGTATCTGTGTAAGACACAAATATAAATAAGAGTTAAAATAATGTAAGCCATTTTACCGTCGTTATCTTGAGATTTCAGCTGGGCTAACACAATTTTGCTTGCTCTAAAGAAGTGGGCAAAAATATTTTTATACGCTACAACAAGACGACTAAAACCACTTTTTTTGTTTATTTATTGCGCAGCGTGCTATGTTGTGGGCCCATAACCTAATGGTTTTATATGATGGCTTGCTTTTATTGTTCAATCGTAATACAAAAAAACTATTTCGCAAAAAAGAATATACATATACCTTATGATCAACAAATAACGAGAATTTAAAAAAAAACACAAATTTTAATTTTTAATAATTTTCTTTATTATCGCCTTCAAAGTACTCGCCTTCTGCGGCAATATATGCATGCCAACGCTTGATCCAATTTCCCATTCGGTCATAGACCGAATAGACCCATTTCTCTTCACCAGTTATGATGCGTTCGATGAATGTGGGGTCACTATCTGCGTTGGAAATCATCTGTTTGGCCACATCACAACGATGCTTCTTTTGAATGAAATTCAGCTAAAAATTTTTCGACTTCTTTGTATAGACGCCAAACAAAAACTAATCGTACGATATGCGTTAAGTTTTGACAGAAAATAGTGTTGCCAGCGTGAAAATAAAAAAAATTTTCGATTGGATAAGCGCGGGATTTCAAAAATATCGTTCTTTTTTGATCACAAGGCATAACATACAAA